CTACTTCTCTAGGTGACGGGCGTGAGAGTTTATTTTATTTTTATTTATTTATTTAAAAACTTACATGTAATACTTTAAGCTAAAGGGTACATAGGGCGGACCTAATGCCATGTGGCATTCTCTGCCAGTCAACCCTGGGTGCAAAGGACAATTGTTGCTAGGTGCGAACATAATAATAGAAAAAGAATAAGTATATAGATAGAAGAAAAGAAGAAGTATATACATAATAGAAAAAGAAAAGAATAAAGGAAAATAATCTCAATTAGTAGTTGCCCTCAGGTAATATTGTCGTAGAAGAACTTCGAAGAGTTTTTTATTTGTGGAATTCTTAATATCATTGGGGAGGGTGTTCCAAAGTTTATGTATGTAATACGTACAATGCTGCTGGCCGTATGAGAACGCTTAAAGTCACTCGGCGAACTATGGAGAGAGCTATGCCCGGGGATTCTCTGCTGTGATAAACTTAGAAATGAGGATATCCGCAGTAGAACCAGACCAACGGATTATTAAGCTAAAGTGGCAATGGGCCGGCCATATAGCTCGAAGAACCAACAACCGAAGTGGAAAAAATGTTCGGGAGTGGCAGCTTCGTACCGGTAGGCGCAGTGTAGGACGTCCCCACACTAGATTGAATGACGACCTGGTAAGACATGCAGGAAATCAATGGATGCAGGTGGTTCAGAACCGTGCTTTGTGTCCATTCCTTGGGGGAGGCCTATGTTCAGCAGTGGACTTGTGAAGGGCTGTAATAATATTGATGATTAATTTAACAGTGGTAGAGCCACGCGGCAGCTTTGCTGTTGCACGTATGGGCCGGCTCAAACCGGGGTGGTACCACGACCTCACAGAATACCGGCGTGAAGTGGAAGCTCTGCTTCCGCGTTTCGTCTGGTGAGTGCAGGTGGCCGGAGGCCCAAATCCCCCCCCCCCCATCAACATGGTAGCGGAATAAAATGATAGACTACCCCAGGAGGGTACCAGCACCCCTGGAGAATCCCTCGCTGAGCATCCACGACCATGTTTCTCCACTTCTGAGCGTGGGTGCTCAGGCTGCCCCCGCGTATTCTGGGGGGGGGGCAATATTCCGCTCAAGACTAAAACTGCTCGGGGCAAACGGAGCAACAAGACCAAGGCGACACCTGCCACGCTGTCCGTGAATTTCTGCAATATCAGGGGACTTCACTCTAACCTAAACGCCGTCCACTACCATCTCGAGACGGCGAGGCCGGCTCTGCTCTTTCTGACCGAGACGCAGGTGTCCTCTCCGGCTGATGTCTCGTATCTCTCCTGCCCGGGGTACAAACTGGAACACTCCTTTGTGCCTCGGGCTGGAGTTTGCGTTTACGTCAGAGAGGACATCTGTTCTCGACGCCTCGGCAGACTTGAAGGTTCGGACCTGTCCATCCTTTGGCTACGCGTAGACAGCGACGACCATCCGCGCGTCTACGGGTGCCTCTATAGGTCCCATAGCGGTAATGCCGAAACAAACCGACTCTTCGACCACGTCCAAATGGCTGCAGATTCGTTGCTACAGCAGATCCCCTCCGCAGAGATCGTGATCCTCGGCGACTTTAACGCCCATCACGCCGAATGGCTCGGTTCACGTTTAACCGATCATGCGGGGAGATCTGTTCATGATTTTGCCTTGGCATATGGTCTGACACAACTGGTTACTTCGCCTACGCAGATTCCAGATGTGGAGGATCATGCACCTTCCCTGTTGGACCTTCTGCTGACCTCTCACCCGGACGGATATCAGATTTCCGTCGACGCCCCTTTAGGCTCCTCGGACCATTGTCTTGTCCGGAGTGTGGTGCCACTCACGCTGAAATCGCGGTTGCATTCTGCAGGCTGCCGCCGTGTTTGGCACTATAGGTCAGCCGATTGGGATGGGCTGCGGTCTTTCTTTGCATCCTACCCTTGGGGGCGGGTTTGCTTCTCGCCGGATGATCCCAACGTTGTTGCGGATTCTGTCGCTGATGTGGTACTTCAGGGTATGGAACTTTTTATTCCTTCCTCTGTGTTGCCCATAGGAGTCAAATCTCAGCCATGGTTTGGTCGCTCCTGTAAAATAGCACCATGCTATAAGCAGGAGTGCTACCGAGCCTGGGCTGACGCATCAGCGTCCAGGGATGTAAACACCAGCGCTCTAAAAAAGAAGTATAATTCCGCCTCTATGTCCTTCAAAAGAGTCATTGCCAAGGCAAAGTCAGAGCACATAGGCAGAATTGGCGAGAGACTAGTTCGTCTTCCTTCTGGAACCCGTGCATTCTGGTCTCTCGCCAAGGCTGTCCAGGGGAATTTCTGTCAGCCAGCTCTTCCATCTCTGCACAGGGAGGACGACTCACTGGCCCACACCGCAAAGGAGAAAGCCGATCTTCTAGGCTCTTTCTTTGCGTCTAACTCGACTCTCGATGACGGGGGGAGTACGCCGCCGACCATCCCGCGGTGTGAGTGCTCCATGCCGGAAGTGCAGTTCACTCAGCGCTCGGTTCGCAAAGCACTCCTCTCCCTGGACATCTATAAGTCGAGTGGGCCTGATGGAATCCCCCCAATTGTGCTGAGGACGTGTGCTCCAGAGTTGGCACCGGTTTTAACGCGTCTTTTCCGGTACTCCTACTCCCTAGGCGTAGTCCCAAAATCATGGAAGACGGCTTTCGTCCACCCGATCCCTAAAAAAGGCGACCGCTCAGACCCGTCCAACTACCGGGCCTATCGCCATCACCTCCTTGTTCTCCAAAACAATGGAGTCCATTGTAAACTGCCAGCTCATGAGGTACCTTGAGGATCACCAGCTGATTAGTGACCGCCAATACGGTTTTCGCCGTGGTAGGTCAGCTGGTGATCTTTTGGTCTACCTAACTCACAGATGGTCGGAGGCAGTAGAGTCCAAGGGGGGAGGCATTGGCCGTTAGTTTGGACATTGCGAAGGCTTTCGATCGGGTTTGGCACAAAGCGCTTCTTTCGAAGCTCCCTTCCTATGGGCTTCCCGAGAAATTGTGCGATTGGATCCCCAGTTTTCTTGCAGATCGGAGCATCAAGGTCGTTGTAGACGGTGCAAGCTCCGATTGCAAGCTTATTAATGCTGGTGTTCCACAGGGCTGCGTGCTATCGCCAACGCAGTTTCTTCTGCATATCAATGATATGTTGCAAACCCGTAGCATTCATTGCTATGCAGATGACACCACTGGTGATGCTCTTTACACCGGCCGAGCCAATATTTCTCGGGAAAACGTCTCTGAGTGCCGGGACAAACTTGTGTCTGAAGTCGAGTCTCTGCTGGACAGTCTCGGATTGGGGGCGACTAAATCTAGTCCAGTTTAACCCCCAGAAGACACAAGTTTGCGCGTTAACCGCTAAAAAGAACCCCTTTGTCGTATTCCCTCAGTTTGAAGGCACTCCCCTTGTTGCCTCAGCCAGTATCGGAATCCTCGGCGTCGACATATCGAGTGACGTGCAGTTTCGTGGTCACTTGGAAGGGAAGGCCAAATTGGCCTCTAAAAAAGCTTGGCGTGCTCAGCAGAGCGGGACAGTATTTCATGCCGGCACACCGCCTGCAACTTTATAAGGCGCAGGTTCGGCCGCTCATGGAATACTGTTCCCATCTCTGGGCTGGGGCTCCCCAGTACCAGCTCCTTCCACTTGACCGCATCCAGCGCAGAGCGGCTCGAATCGTCGACGACCGAGTGCTTTCCGATCGGCTCGATTCACTGGCGCTGCGAAGAGATGTTGCATCTCTTTGCGTATTTTATCGCATCTATCACGGGGAGTGCTCTGAGGAATTGTTCGGATTAATCCCAGCCGCCAAATTTCGTGAACGCACTACACGGCAAACGTCCCGATACCATCCACACCATCTGGATGCTTGGCGGTCCACCACTGTACGTTTCAAAAGGAGTTTTCTTCCGCGTACAACCTCTCTGTGGAATAATTTACCACCGGTGATTTTTCCGGACCGATACGACCTGGGGACCTTCAAGAAAAGAGCTTACTCCTTTCTAAAGGGCCGGCAACGCACCTGCAATTATCCTGGTGTTGCGGTTGATCATGGGCGGCGGTAGTCACTTAACATCAGGTGAGCCACATGCTCGTTTGCCCCCCTCTTCTATAAAAAAAAAACGTATAAAGCGTAACATCAATTAAGACATAACTCTTAATAAGCCCTATACACTTTCATAGATGGTATGACTCTATTTCGGCACAGGAGGCCATCTGCGTAGGTTGAGCCTGGTACCTATTTCTATCACTGACTGCCTCGTTGGTCTAGTGGTTGTAGTAGTGTGACTGCTGATCACGAGGTCCCGGGTTCGAATCCCGGGTCGGGTAAATACTATCAGTTATTGAGTTTTTCCATCAAGAAATTCTCAGTACCTGCCCGGAGTTAGTAAGTTGGCGGTGTCTCATTCCCGTGCCTCCTTCCGCGCCTGATCTCTCCCCAGTCATGTCGGTTTACCATCCCATCGTATTATGAGAGTGAGGGAATAGAGAGTGCACCTGTGCTTGCGCGTACACTTGGGCACTATAATCCTGTCCTGTGCTGATGGCTAGTCTTCGTGGGCCGCCGTTTGTCACCTTTATTCAATAAAAAATTTGCTTGCTAGTAGAAAATTATAACGAAAAGCCGTTAACATCTTGAATAAATATGGGTGTCGGTTCGATTCGGTCAGGCTACACCATCAACTTCCCATGAATGTTCTATTTCTAATTAAAAAAAAAACTTTTATTTACTTACTTTTTTAATTAGTGAATTCATTAACTTTTATGCGCAAACAAGCACAGACACTCACAGAGAGATATTTTTAGAAATAGTAGAAGTGAACTCTATGGACCTCAGAACGTCTTTTTAACGGAGATAATATATTAAAAAGTCTTTCAAATGTTGGAACCATAACAACGATTTCCGAACACCGTAGTCATTGCTGTTACAATGGTAGTCCAGATATTTTATCATATACCTTTAAAGATGCATCCGTGTAGACCTCTGACAGTTTCTTTTATAATCACTTCATTTTCTGATCCACCACACTATCTATCGATGGACCCCAGAAATGGTGACCCTTATAAGGAATTTTAAAGTTCACAGCTACGTTCCCTCTTAATTTTGCCAAGTACACGACTTCTACCTCTAAAGCACCCTTATTTACTGACAGTACCGCGGTCGCCGCCTGCCCAGGCAGCAGTTCCGTTTCAACACCACTTTTGGTTCCAATCTCAATAGTTTCAGATCGCTCTTCACTTTCGCCCCAACTAGTTGTATATGAGAAACCAGTCGTGCCCATCATCTTCACAAACATCACGTTCATATCATATTCAATTTTCTGAGAAACCGTCGTCTCTTTGCTTTTGGTCCAACTTGTCAAAATCGTATTTTCCACTGTTTGACAAATCCCTGTGTTTACCTTAATCGTCTTATTTGAAACGTTATCGAAGTCGTGAGACAATACTATTACAGGTTTCTTTTTTACTGTCTTTAATCATGCTGATTTGACAGTCAAAACTCGCGATGCCTGTTCCCAGTTATATTTTCGGAACACATCTCCCCAAGGTATCGGACTTTTTAAGTAAACATTGCTGGAAGACCAATGGTAGTATCTCTTTACAGCCTTTCTTATGTTAGCGTTTCCAATATTAAATAATTCAATTTGCCGATGACCAATAACGTCGACTCCGAAATCAGAATGTGTTATTGTAACATCGTTATCGTTCCAACATTTATATCTAATGAGATCTTCGAATCAACTTTTTTTGCGGCAACTATAAATAAAATCAGTGCTTCAATAAATGTGTTCATTTTATATACTATAAAATTACATTGAATAAGACGTGCACTACATAAGAACTTATTGGTTTCTGATCTTAAAACCCACTCAATTTTTTAAGTTTATTATTTTTATCAGTTTATCCCTGCCCCTTTTATCAAAATTTATTCTGTTAAGACTTTTTTTATAGAGATGTAACTAACGAACGAAACTTTATTTTATGATTTCAATATACTTTTATATTTTGGTTATGCAATTTCTTAAAGACAAATGTGTTACGAACTTAGAAAGGCCTTTTAAAAGGCAAAACTGGTATTGGTTAAGTGATGACCCATAAGTTTTACTTACAAACTCATTAAAAATAAAATAATATAATATTGATTTATATGAATATAAAGTTAAGCATTTTAATCTGAACTATCTCACGTCGAGTTTTAGTTAAAAATTTCCTGTCAACGAAATTGTGCCTGATCTCTCTCATTGTCAGGTCGTGTCGGATTGGCATGTGAGTTAGGAAACAGTGAGTGCACCTGTGCTTGCGCACACACTTGAGTACTATAACCCTGTCCTGCGCAGATGGCTAGACTCTGTTGAAATGAAGCTGGGCATTGTGACCAAAATTCTGTCTGAAGGATGTTATATATTGATTTATATTAAATTTCTAATTGCTGCCTCAGCTCTTAACAACTACGGATTTTGCAAATATTTGTGTAAAAATATGAATTACTTTTCACAATCAATTAGTAATAGTTGGTCATGGGCTTTCAGTAGCTTCTATACCATCAGATATAATAAATATACCATAATTTTGAGTTTTGAGACTGATTAGTAAATTAGTATATATTTTCTCCAAACATCTAGACTGACTAAAACCTTCATTTAATTTATGAATAAAGACTTCATGGGACATTCTAAAACCATAAATCTTGATCAGTTGATATAATTCAGTCATGAACGTTACTGGTAATGATCCACGCATGATCTTCGGTGTCGTCACACGCATGCTATGAAGGTTTTTATCAACAATAGGACGAATTTTGACACAAGTGTGTTTGCACCTCCTCTGACTCTACCTGTTCTTATTATAATGATATAGAGTCGAATATTCGGTGCAACGTAGTTGTGAAACGTAGTCTTTGATGCGGTCGAGCTTTCCTTCCATTGATTTATATATTACACTAGATCAGGGGTCGGCAACCTGCAGCTCGAGAGCCACATGCGGCTCTTTGGATGTGAAGCTGCGGCTCTTTAATTCCTTACGCAAATATTATTTATTTTATAAAATAAAATATTTAAAATCGTTCTGAATCGATTAACGAGTAGGTATTAGGCACCATTTCTATCTCTCAGCTACTTGTACTCGCTTTTCACCGCACCCCTCCCCGGTGACACGCGTCGTCACTGTCGTAAGTCCGTCGAAAGCTCGGAAGTCCTGTAAAGTCCTCGGAAGAATGTATATATTTCTTTTTTTTTTTCAAAAATATTTATTTATGCAAGTACTATTATGCTTGGCAAGAAAAAATTTGTGGCTCTTTAAATACTTTGAAATTTTTTAAATTGTAATTTTGACTCTTCCGACTCAAAAGGTTGCCGACCCCTGATCTAATGTGAAAGAGTAAATAAACTCAAGAGGCGCACACTCATCAGAGGCGGGTACGTACCCCCCAGAGAGGGAAGCTGAAAGAGGTGACCAAAGACCGTTCTTCTTGATCCCGATGATGAGATCACTACCCAAAATAAATTAATCCCTACCATCACCCCCTCCCACGCTCCCGAGGATATCCGATCCACTGACAAGAATACACACACACACACACACACACACACACACACACACACACACACACACACACACACACACACACACACACACACACACACACACACACACACACACACACACACACACACACACACACACACACACACACACACACACACACACAGACACACACACACACACACACACACACACACACACACACACACACAAAAAAAAAAAAAAACTCACACACACATTTAATACGTAAGTACACAACCCTAGGGCACACCGCGTTCGCCGGCGAACACGAGGTAGAAGACACACACCTTCACAGGCATTGAACCTGAATTATTAGGAATTTTTATTTTACAACCTGTTTCCCTATTCCAATAGTGATTCCAGATGAAGTTTGTACCTCCTTCTGAGGGGCCCTGGAGTCACACCAAGCTTCCTCTTTTAGAGGAGAATCACTCCAATAGCAGTAGCTGTGCTTCGGGACTTTTATATTTTTACCGGAATAGCTCGTTAATCCTTGCTTACGAGCCTATTCCTATGAATTTGTAAAGGCTGCAAAGCTGACAACATACAATTACAAAAAAAAAAACACAATAGTTACCTAACTTTCATAATTCTACGATGATATGTAATGTACATAGTAAAGCCATGCTATACCTGTATTGTGGTTGTAGCACGAAGGGGTTGGCTAGACCGAATAAGGGCTCACATTATATCAAAATAAAATAGCAGCGTAATACTGTTGTGTTATTTGTGGTGTGTAAAGAGAACTGGAGACCCCTTTAACTGAAATTGAGGCATTCCAACTTAATCCTCAGGGGTGTCAACGCATCTCAATTGTGATTCTTAACCGACGATAGACGTAGATGTCTATGAGCTACTTACCATCAGGTGGACTGTGTGTTCGTTTATCAACCTTATTTTATTTAAAAATACATCCTCCTAAACTATATATGTACCTATAAAACCACTGACTATATATACAAGTACGCTGGACTGGCTATACCATACAAAATATCTGTGCCAATTTGAAGCGAAACTAATGGACCTCTTGAAAAATAAAATTGACATAATATGCCAAAGTCTTATTTAAAAAATCTGTATTTTGAACTTTTAAACTAAAAAACGAAAGTATTTTATGTTGTTTGATTGTGTATAATATTAGTTACATAATAAAAATTATTTTTAATAACAATGAGAGTGTGCGTAATCTGTAAAACTCGTTACCAAAAGGGAAGTAGTATAACATTTCACAAATAAGTGAATTTGCAGCAAATATTAAACAAATTAAAACTATTTGATAATATAAGTACTTAAAAATTTGTTACTAATCTTAATATCACATATACCAACATGTTTGTTATATGTGATATTAAGATTAGTAAAAATTAAACAATAAAATTCAATGGGGTTGTCGAGTTCCTTGTCTATAATACTTATCGATATTCTTTTCTACCCATATCTGTTAACAAGCAAAGTCGCCAATAACAGATAATTATCAAATGTTTATTAATTAACAGGTTTTCAACTGAACCTTGACTAAAATTATGGCTTAAAAGCATAAATATTGTGGATTGGCGTCCGAAACAAAATGATCATATTTGTTCTAAACATTTTACAGACGACTGTTTTTTACTGTTGATTAGACATGAGCTACACCACTTTGAAAAAGTGCAGTATCCCGACAGTATTTATAAAATGTTTGAATATTTAGGGACAATACCAGGAGACCCGACAGTATGACTTTGGTTACTTTAGAGAGAGAGAGGTAAAGCATTAGTGTGAGATACTACTTTACTACTTGCGAAGACTTTGACAGCATTTCATCTCAGGGGTACCTCGTTTAAAGCAGGGGTGGTATTAGAGGCAACTGAACTAAGTAAATAGCCCAGAGTATCTAAAGGATGAGTACATATTTGTGCAATTTGCTATAAAGACTATCGGTCCGTAGGGTGCACGTGCAGTGTAGTTCCTAAAATCCATATTCCTTGGGGGAGGCCTATGTTCAGCAGTGGACTTGTGAAGGATTTTAATGATGATGAATGATAAAGGCATTATATTAATATGATACATAAATAGAATGGACGTTACGAGTAGGTAGAGTCCATTTATCCATAGAGTCTATTGTATTTATTTTGGTATAGGTAGGGTACAGAATTTTTATCGATATGTTTTGTCATACTGTCTTATATGTACCTATAAAACCACTGACTGACTGATTATTAATTCCGTGGACGTGCTCTTCTGCTGGCAGCGCCAAAATGGCGGAAATCAAATCGCTTCATCGTGTCACGGTGTATAGCCAGTCCAGAGTACTTGTATATATAGAGGTCAGTGTATAAAACATATTTTTTGTCTTATTTCATGATCATTTTACTCTCAATATTTTAGTCACGTTTTCTCTGAATCTGTGCAACTGAAAAAAACGCACAGGACATAAATGTGTGCTAATAATCGTGAAAATATTTCCGTTGTAACATTCGCAGCAATTCAAAATTAGTTTTCGATAATAGCAAAATGAAAAAGGAGTTAACAAAGAGCGATGATAAGTTTTGAGAGGCCTCGCCACTTTTGACATATTAATGATTGAACGATTTTAGTAATATGAAAAGCATTTGCTTGTATCTTTTGAAATACGTCTTTATTGTATACCTAAAAATCTCCTACAAAAACAACATAGGATTTAATAAACTTTATTGTTCGCGAAAAAAGGTATATCTTAATCTTTATCGTGGTCGAGCAC